AGACTCCAATTCAAAAAAAAAAAAAGAAACTTGGTGTTTAAGTGAACTACAAAATGATCACCTGGTTTCTAACACTATACCTGAGAGGCTATAAATTTTACATATGTGCATATTTTTTTTTCTACTAGGGGTATCATCCTATCACCCAGGTTGGAGTGCTGTGGCAAGGTCATGGCTCACCACAGCTTTGACCACCTGGGCTCAGGTGAACCTTCTGCCTCAGCTTCTGGAATAGCTGCGACTACAGGAACACCTGGCTTATTTTGTGATATTTTGTAGAAACAGGGACTCGCTATGTTTCCAGGCTGTTCTCGAACCCGTGGGCTCAAGAAACCCTCCCACCTTGGCCTCCCAAAGTGCTAGGATTAAAGGCATGAGCCACCGCACCTGGCCTCATATGTGTATACTTTTAAAATAAATTCCATATGAGTATTTTTTTATTGAGTCGGAGTGTCACTCTGTCACCCAAGCTGGAGTGCAGTGGCACACAGCTCACGGCCACCGCAGCCTCAACCTGCTGGGCTCAGGCAATCCTTCTGCCTCAGCCTTCAAGGTAGCCGGAACTACAGGCGTGCGCCACCACGCCCAGCTAATTTATTTTGATTTATTGTAGAGATGAGGCCTTGCTAAATAGACCAGGCTGGTCTCAAACCTGTGGGCTCAGGCAATCCTCTCACCGTGGCCTCCCAAAGTGCAAGTATTATAGGCACGAGTGACCATGCCTGGCCTTCATATGGGTAATTTTTTTTTACAGTGAATACACTTTATCTGTTCCTCTGAGATGAAATTGCTAAAAGTTAACATACAATACAGTAATGTGTTGACTATTTATAATTCACAGTATATTTTTTTCCTCTGAAAACTATAAGTACAAAAGTTAAGTGACAATGAGGTAATTAAAAAATATAAGGCTGGACGTGGTGGCTCAAGCCTGTAATCCCAGCACTTGGGAGGCCGAGGTAAGAGGATTACCTGAGCCCATGGGTTCGAGACCAGCCCAGGCAACTTGGCAAGACCTCATCTCTAAAATAAATCAAAAATTAGCTGGGTGTGGTGGTACATGCCTGTAGTTCCACTTCTTGGAAGACTGAAGCGGAAGGATCCTCTGAGCCCAGCAGGTCGAGGCTGCAGTGGCAGTGAGTGTGCCACTGCACTACTCTGGGTGACTGAGTGAAAGACTCCAACTCAAAAATAAAAAATATATATAAGGATGGACGTGGTAGCTTAAGCCTGTAATCCCAGCATTTTGGGAGGCAAAGAGAGAAGATTGTCTGAGATCAGGGGTTCAAAACGCCTGGACAACTTGGCAAGACCTCGTCTCCACAATAAATCAAAAAATTAGCCAGACGTGGTGGCTCACACCTGTAGTTCCAGCTACTTGGAAGGTTGAGACAGAAGGACTGCCTGAACCCAGCAGGTTGAGGCTGCGGTGGCCATGAGCATGCCAATGCACTCCAGCCTGGGTGACAGAGTGAGATGTGATTAAAAAAAAAAAAAAAAGACTGGGCAAGGTGGCTCAGCCTGGAATCCCAGCGCTTTGGGAGGCTGAGGTGAGAGGATTGCCAGAGCCTGAGGGTTTGAGATCAGCCTGGGCAACCTGGTGAGACTTCGAGACCTCATTTCTACGGTAAATCTCACACACACACACACACACACACACACACACACACACACACACACACACACACACACACACAAAATTAGCCAAACATGGTGGCGTGTGACTGTTGTTCTAGCTGCTTGGAAAGCTGAGGCAGAGGTGAGAGGATTGCCAGAGCCTGATGGTTTGAGATCAGCCTGGGCAACCTGGTGAGACTTTGAGACCTCATTTCTACGGTAAATCTCACACACACACACACACACACACACACACACACACACACAAAATTAGCCAAACATGGTGGCGTGTGACTGTTGTTCTAGCTGCTTGGAAAGCTGAGGCAGAAGGATCGCTGGAGCCCAGCAGGTCAACGCTGGGGTGGCCGTGAGTGTGCCACTGTACTCCAGCCTAGGCGACAGAGTGAGATTCCAACTCAAAAAAATAAAAATAAAGCAAAGCCCACCATAATAATAAAAACCCAAACTAAATGAAACAATATTTATTCTTCAAAAATTTTATTTAATAACTTCAAACTGAATACTGACTCAGTATTAAATAGCCTGTAGCCTAATCAATCATTTCGAATTAAAATATAGTAATTCCCTGCAAGGTATGGTGTTTCATGCCTATAATCTCAACACTTTGGGAGGCGGAGGTGAGAGGATTGTCTGAGCCCAGGGATTCAAGACCAGCCTGGGCAACTTAAAGAGACCTCATCTCCAAAACAAATAAATCAGCCAGGTGTGACTGCATGCACCTGTGGTTCCAACTACTTGGAAGGCTGAGGCGGAAGGGATCGCCTGAGCCCAGCAAGTTGAGGCTGTGGTCGCTGCGATAGTGCCACTACACTCCAGACGGGACAACGAAGTAAGACTCCAACTCAAAAAATAAGTATAGCTGGGCATGGTGGCTCAAGTCTGTAATCCCAGCACTTTGGGAGGCTGAGGTGACTGGATTGCCTAAGCCCATGGATCCAAGACTAGCCTGTGCAACTTGGTAAGACCACATATCTACAATAAATCAAAAAATTTGCTGGGGCCAGGCTCCGTGGCTCAGCCTGTAATCTAGCACTTTGGGAGGCCGAGGTGAATGGATTGTCTGAGCCTGCAGGTTCAAGACCTGCCTGGGCAACTTGGCAAGACCTCGTCTCTACAATAAATAAAAAAATTTCGGGCTCAGTGGCTCAGCCTGTAATCCCATGCTTTGGGAGGCTGAGATGAGTGGATTGCCTGAGGCCGCGGGTTCGAGACACGCCTGGGCAGCGAGACCTCATCTCTACAATAAATCAAAAAATCAGTCGGGCGTGGTAGCGCATGCCTGTAATTCCGGCTACTCAGAAGTCTGAGGCGGAAGGATTGCCAGAGCCCGGCAGGCCAGCAGGTGAGGCTGCGGTGGCTGGGAGCGGCCACGGCACCCCGGTCTGGGTGACCAAGTGAGACTCCAACTCAAAAAAAAAAAAAAAAAATTTGCTACAGAGGGTAGCACGTGCCTGTAGTTCCAACTACTTGGAAGGTTGAGGCAGAAGGATCACTGGAACCCTACAGGTCGACACCAGGGTGGCCGTGAGCATGCCACTGCACTCCAGGCTGGGTGACAGAGTGAGACTCCACCTCAAAAAAAAAAAAAAATAGCCGGCAATGGTAGCACGTGCCTGTAGTTCCTGCTGCTTGGAAAACTGAGGTGGAAGGATAGTCTGAGCCCAGCAAGTCAAAGCTGTGGTGGCCATGAGCTGCGTGCCACTGCACTCTAGCCTGGACAACAGAGTGAGACTACAACTCAAAAAATAATAATTATTATTATAATCAATCATTTATTATTATAATAAATGAGGTTCTTCGACCAGTAGCATTATCAGCATCACCTGGGAACCTGTTTAGAAGTGCAATTTCTTGGGCTCTTCCCCAGACCTACTAACTGTATCAGAATCTACATATTGGGGTCCATTAATCTATGTTTTAATAAGTCCTAAAGTGTGAGAATCACTGTGCTACAAGAATAAAATAGTAATAACAAATTGTTAGGAATGCTAAAACAAAACAAAACCTATACACATTTCCTGAAAGTGAGATGGAGATTACTTTAACTAACTTTTCTTTTCTTTTCTTTATTTATTTATTTTTGAAAAGGAGTTTCACTCTGTCACTCAGGCTGGAGTGCAGTGGCATCCTCACAGCCACTGCAGCCTCAACCTACTGAGCTCAGGTGCTTCTTCTACCTCAGCCTTCCAAGTAGCTGGAATCACAGACACGTGCTACCATGCTCAGCTAATTTTTTTGATTTATTGTAGAGACAAGGTTCGTCAAGTTGCCCAGGCTGGTGTCGAACCCCTAGACTCAGGCAATCTTCTAGCCTCCACCTCCCGAAGTGCTGGGATTAGAGGTGTGAGCCACTGAGCCTGGCTAACTTTTATTTCTAAAACTAGAATCAAATATAAACTCATCATGCAACAGGAACAATTTTATGGCTACATTTACTATACATTTCTCCCTTGAAATATAATGTTTCTTTATTTTAAAAAATTGTTCAAATGTTAGAGGCTCATTCTAGAAGCCTAAACGACAAATCAAGTTTTAAAAAGAGAGGGGAAAAAAACGGCTTGGCTCAGTGGCTCAGTCTGTAATTCCAGTGCTTTGGGAGGCCGAGGTGCAACTTGGTGAGACCTTATCTCTACAATAAATCAAAAATTAGCCGTGCGTGGTAGCGCGCGCCTGTAGTTCCAGCTACTTGGAAGGTTGAGGCGGGAGGATCGCTGGAGCCCAGCAAGTCGAGGCTGCAGTAGCCGGGAGCGGCCACTGCACTCCAGTCTGAGCGACAGAGTGAGACTCCAACTCAAAAAAAAAGAGAGAAAAAGGGAAAAAAAGAAAAAAAGGGAGAGGGAGGGAAAAAAGAGAGAGGAAGGAAGAAGAAATTTCCAACAGATTGATTACTCTCAAGAACACCAAAAGATACAGCAGCAAAAAGCCTATTTCTTTCACATTTTGGAGCAGTGAATAGACAAGTTTAAAAATAGCTGTAGACCCCCAAAATGAAATTCCATTCTAACTAACACAGAAAATAATCACTGCCTTCTTCAAGAGAAGTAAATAAGGTACGCAGGTGCTGATTCTAGCTTACAGTCTGAAGTTAGACAACCACACCAAAAAAATAAAATCACAAGAAAGCCACAATTCTTTGATTCCATGGGAGAAGAAAAAAAAAAGGGTAAACAAAACATGGTCCCCAAGCTACTAAATGCAAGACTCTATAAGACTAACTTCAAGTTTTTCTTTCCTACTTAAGAAGAACATGAAGGCAGCCTTCTCTGAAGGGTTACACAAGATTGGAGGCAGCTCAGTATTAACAGTTAAAGAGCCTGTCCAGAAACCAGCAACTGTACTGAACATTATTTCCCAGGCACGAGACTACAAACCACCAGAAACGAGAGGTCATGTATGGAAAATCACTGAGTAGATGCCCAGACACTCTAGAAGTTACTCCGCAGCCTGTCCCATTTTCACTAATTCTAGTCCTGAATTAAAGACAGAAGGTAGTGCAATACTACCATTGTCAGACTCCTTGTTCATTTCAGGTTATCCACTCTAAATCTTTTTGTGGAAGGCAACTTTTAACATAAAAGCCTACAGTTTAATATTTTACAACATGAACAAAATTTTTATCACATTGTAAACAAGGAGGAACATTATTTGTAACTGACCTCTTATAATTCTTACTGTCTGAGCAGATATCCACCTCCAAAAAGAACTAAAGAGAGAAAGAGAGAAATTTGAAGTTTGTTTTTTAAAGAAACCCAAACTTTTGTCAGTTCCTGTTTTCTCAGCATAGTACAAAGTTAAAAATACTCAAAGCATCATTTTTTTCTGGTCAAATCTATTATTTAACTTAAAGCACAAAGTTCAGCAGTTTAGCTATTTGTTCAACTCTGTAAATCAAAAGTATTATACATTCACATATTATTATTTGATAATAGTCCAGGCTTACCATTTCACAAGGTGGCTTTTCCAATTGTATACTCAGTGAATACATTCCAAACCTTTCATTTCCAATATTTAATCAAGAAGGATGCAGTGGGGAGAAGAGAACCACTAGATTCTCTACAACTCAGTAGGCTCTGATTTTGTTTCCAAGTGGTTATACCTACCCACAAAGGCTGGGAGCCAGGGAGAGGACAGAGCTCCCATTATAATAAGTCCTTAAATTTTAAAGGATCAAAGCTACTCCCCAAATCCTCACTCTCTTTTTAAGTCCAACAATTTAAATGTATCCAGGATAGAAATTCTCAACTTTGGCAATATTTAAGAATTACCTAAGGAGCTTTTAAAAAATACACAATGAAGCCAGGCTCGGTGGCTCAGCCTGTAATCCCATGCTTTGGGAGGCTGAGGTGAGTGGA